ATATATATATATATATATATATATATATATATATATATATATCAATGTCTCATAAGAAATTACATGTTAAAACATTTAAATAAATTAATTTTTAATGTGTTTCCATAAATATTTAATATTTAGTAAGTTATTATTAATAACATTCGATGACGCTTACAGACCTGTCATCGAGAGAAATTTGGTTTTCCAGTAGTATGACTCAACGACGAGTCAAGCTCTTTTAAGAGCTGATTTAATCTCATCAAAACTTCCATTAACCTCATCAGTGTGATTTAAAATGATTACGCGATCTCCCTCAGGGTGAGTTTTTCTTTTTCATATAAACATATCTAAATTTCTTTTCTCTTTACTGTTTTCTTTGAGGAGTTTTGAAAGATAGAATACAAAGTATATCTAATTTGTACTTTCTATAAATTAAAAATATATAATAGTTTTTAAGTAAATCAAAAGAAAAATTTAATATTTTTCATGAAAATTTCCTAGTCATATCATTTAAGGGGTTTAAAAAAAAAAAAAAAAAAGAGAAAAGTAAAATTAGAAAGAGATGAGATTAAGTATTGTTCTTTTACCCATTCACCCACACATATCAATCTTTGTTAAATAATTTAATATACGCTTATCTGTATAAATTTCGTTCGAATATAGACAATTGCCAATCGCGTGTATATATTTGCCAATTAATATATTAACGAACATAATAATGCCACGTCTTGCTCATTATTGATTATAGTACATCCGTAACGATGAGATATTGAATAATTATAGACCGGGTTCCATACAAATGATATATTTTTTTAGAGATTTTCCGGTCAGACTATCAACTATCATGTTTAAAAACTGTCAAATAGTTTTATATTCGATTGTCATTCCTGCGTTATTCATTGTGCGTTATAACAGGACGCCTCTGATTAAAAGCTGTAGACATATACCACAGTTAGTTAATAACCGGATAGCACTGAACGATAATACTTCCCCGAAAGGCATTGTGTTGGTTTGTTAGATCGATAATGCATTCACGTGCAAATTGTTCCAAGTCTCTTCCTCGAGATCAACAAGTGCATCGAATGCACCCGAGCGCGCAATTTTTTCGACATTTCACCCGTGAAAGAAAATGCACCGAGAGAGTTGGATAGCGGCTCCAAGATCCTCTCAAGGTAGATGCTAAGGTAGATGGTGAGAACGCTGCTTGTATTTCATGTTTTGATCTTGTTCTTAATTAAAAAATTGTTTAATAATGTACATAAGAAAACGGGCTTTGCTAAATAATTAGTTAATCCAAACGATTCGACGACCGAATATTCACATCTTTTCCGGGATCTACAAACATTGTGCATTTTTTCTATTATGAGGTTTTCCGGCTGGAAAAATGGCGATAAATAAATGTCGGTTTGGTGCATTCGATGCATCCGGGCGTTTAATTTTTCCAACATTTTCGCCGCGGAAGCGAAAGAACGACTTTGATCGCGTTATGCGTCTCTACACAGAGAAAAATATTATTCTACTGCTGAGAAAAGTGTCGCTCAATTTATTTTCTTTCTTTCTTTTAAATAATTTTTATCTTCAACAAAAAGTATTTTTTATGATAGTCCTAAAATATACTTATTACAAATTTGAGAGAAACTCATTATTATGTATTCAAAAGAAAAATATATTCTGTTTACGAGAATATTATAAGATTTTAACAAAGCATAGTGAAACGTAAGATTTGTCGTTATAACAATTAATTGATAATCAGTTACTCAGTAATAATTTATGAGCCAAAACGTTCAGCTCGTCAGATTGTCTTAATGTCCTTTGCGTTATAATCTAGTTTAGTTCATATAATATTTCAATACAGGGACTTTTTGTGTAACATTCTTTCTAAAATTATTCTCTCGTGGTCAGCGACACTTACGTGATTTTGCGTTGCGGACCATTTTAACGCAGCATCCGTTGCAGGTCATTAGAGGTGGTTGATCCCTAGGTAGCGCCGTATAGTTGAACGGATCCTTGCATCTGAGGTCCGTCCATGAGTCGCATTCGTAGCAGTAAACGGAGCGAGCTGTGAAAGCAGACGCATTTTCAAGGACCGCGCATTGCCTCTATCGCACTCGGAAAAGAATGTACACGAAGTCGAAGCGCCTCGAAATCGTCGATTTGCATCGACGACTCAGCCGTTTATATATTGTCAGTGCTAAGCTTATTTTCTCCGCAAATCTCTCCCCGCTCTTATCGCTTCCCCCATATGGCTCCCCCCAGTGTTCCATTCACGACAAGCACATCTGTGAAATGTGATAAACATCGAGTGTGCGTGCGATGTTACGACCAAATCTCTAGCTATTACTTTCCTATTGAGGCAGCCACGTTTAGCGTCAAAGAGCCGGTTTGATCACGGACTCAAGATAATAAGCTGTCGCGAGAAATGACGACTTGGAATAAATTCGAGATGGTTAATTTTGCCAATGCGGAACTTGTCGTCACGAACAGTTTAATTTGGACTAATTGTGTAACTAATTCGACGTCTGTGACGGCGCGGTTGTCATCCAAAGATAATATGCAGAGTACTTTCCACCCCTCGTGGACACATCGTTTTCCGAGTGCACATCTTTCGTGTAAGGTCTTTTGCATCGATGGGCGCCCGCGCGCGCGTGAGCTCTAAAAAGAAATATCAGGCACCGTTCGCTTTTCACGGCACAATAGAGAAGCGCAAGCGCTTCGGCGACGTGGCCGTGCTCGATGAGACTGGACGAGAATAAGGCTGAATTGCATCGACTGCCGAGAGGAAATTGAAGCGGTTTATGAATCATCGGGAACAACTCGATATCACGGACACTGTTGGAGTAACTGAAAAGGAGACAGTCTCGTTGAAGCTGCTATTGTACTTAATTTAGAAACAAAATGAAGTCGTTTGATAACGATTAGAATAAATTGCATTACGGAGAATATTCTTCTCGTGAAAAGATTTTATGTATAAAAACGCGTAAACGTCTCATGCGAGACGAGTCTACTTCGTAGATTGGTCCAGGAGATTGTAAGGCAGAATGATTTTGTTAAGAATTTATTAAAATTTGCACTAAATATAAATTTAAATAGTGTCCAACTGCTCGTGCAATTAGAAGAAAATTCAAGAGTTGAGGTATTTGAAACTAAAAAGAAGATAAAGCTTATAAGAACTGTACGCTGGACGTTAGTGCGAATAAATTCTCAATGGGAGGAAATGTTATAAATGTTTATGCGTTGTTTGTTTTGGATCGAAGTATACACACTAAACTAAACTAATGGTCTATGGTACGCTGGTAACAGAAGCCGCTTAGTCTAGTATATGCTTAGATCCAAAACAAACAATATACAAGCATTTCAGTTGCGAGGAATGCTGTTGAAGTTTTGGTACAGCGTCCCGCCAGACAAGTGGGAAGATGTAGGTTTGATTCTTGGCTGAGACAATATTTTTCGCAACTTTAAATAGGAATCTAGAAGAAATACGCAAATTGAAATTTTAAGGAAAGGGGAAATTCATTAAATAATAATAATAATAATTAAATAAATAAATAATAATAAATTTAGGTTCTGAGATCTGATCTGATTTACGTACTTTGTAAGACCAGAAAAATATTTAGCGCGTGTAATAATATCAAATTTTATTCTCCTATTCAAATTTATTTACTCTAAAATTCAGCGTACGGTTCTTATGAGCTTTATCTTTCTCTTAATTAGTGCTTGTTCCTTGGAGTTGACATGCCATTTTCAATTTTTCTTGCAAATTAAAATTAGAGTTTTAATAAAAAATTATGATAATATGAAAGATATTATATATCGATGGATAATATATCGGCATTATACACAAAATTCAGAATTACCGACTGTTTGGTTTGGAAAATACAGTGATGAAAAATTCATAATCTATAGTAATACTCGAGACATACACATATTCAAACATTTATGTATCTCTTTCTATTATCCGTGCATCTCTATTAGACCAACTGCTGATCAAATAAAGTGTATTAATAAGAAAAAATTAAAAAATATTTTTTTTCGTATATATATAATATTATGTAAATATATATTTTTACCTCAACTTTGTCTCAAATTAGTAGGTATACATAGACAATTTTGTTTGATAAATTCGCAAGTTTATGAATGGGCCCCTTGATGCGCGATTGAAAATATGAAACTAAGCCTTACAACCTCCTTAAACCGCGACGCAGCTAGAAACATCGCTTCGTCGCTCGAATTTGAGAAAGAAATTTCCTGATCTCGACGTTTTGTTGCGAACGATAAATCCTCGACGAGATTTCTCTCGGTTCTCGGCAAAGACGAATTCCGACGCTCTCTCCTCGTCCAGTGTGGAGCCTAGGCGACCTCCGGCCGGGAGTTGTTTTGCCCGGCGCGGAGAACGCTTTGCGACCCCGTGGCGCGGTTTCTCGGATTCTGCGAGAGGGTTACTTGGCCGCGGGCGCGCTTCATCGAGCTTCGTCATCGAGTGTCCCTAGCGAACGAGTCCGACGACACGGCACGGGCACACCGAGGAGAGTAAGCTGGCTTAATCACTCACTCTGGCACTCCGCATGACAGACGTTGGCAACCGCGAGTACAATTGCCGCTGAAAACGAAAGATCGGTTACTGCTTTAGGCGGTGCGTCATACAAAAAAGCCGCGCGGGCTTACTAGCCTATATAGAATACTTGGCCGAGAGTGTCGGGTGACAGAAAGCGACATTACTACTGGCAACATCATCCGCTAATCGTCTCGCTATCGCGCTATTGTAATGTCGGGCTACGGATGCTCTGTGACTATGTATTACTACTACGACCGCTACTGTTTCTCTCTACGGCGCGGTTCTAGCGTACTCGAGATATTCATAACGTTGGGGATCGCTGGGCAATTGCGCTAACTAAGCTAATCGTTATCACTCGGTCGTGGGGTTCGTGCGGCAGACACGTCCACGTTTGTCGGAACGAGCTTCGCCTTGCTTCGAGCTCGTCTCCTTTGCAGATCGTCAAGCATCGCGGTGGTAAAATATTTGCAAAGTGCCGAGGATGCCCGAAGGTGAAGAACAGGGTAAAGAACAGAGTATGGAGTGCAGGATATGGCGCGTGAGACAGACTGAGAGAATGTAGGATATAATGGAGTAGCGTAGAATGTAAACAGAGTGCGTGCAGATTAATTTAGAGGGTAGAATGTAAATTAGTGAAATAAGGAGCTGCGCGAGTGTAAAAGAGAGCGGTAAAGCTCTTCTAAATCCATTTAGTGACAGTCGGAATCTTAAATTACTTTTACTTGAAGTACATGTATACGAAAATCAAGATTTTAATAATTGTACTTTAATGATCTTTTCTTTTACTAAATAGCAATATCATATATTTCCACAATAATATCAGGGTTGGGAAGTAACTCATTACTTGTAACGAAGTTACAGTTATAATTACATTTTTTCGGTAACTGTAACTTAGTTACTTTTTTCCCACCTGTAACTGTAACTTAACTAAGTTACTTATTTTTAATAACTTGTAACTTTTCTAACAGTTACTTTAATAGTTACTTGAGGAACGTAAAAATAAAATTAAAATTATATAGTAATCGTATATTAATTTAATAACCCAAATAGCACAGAGAATTAAAAAAGAATTAAAAAAAAATTTAGTCGTATATCATCAATTCTGAGTTCATTTTCAGATGCAAAAACACTTTTCAGAGTTTAGTTCAGTGAAAAGAATTTTTTTTGCATTTAAAAATGAACTCAGAATTGGTGACATACGACTAAATTTTCCTTAAATTCTCTGTGTTATCTGGGAAATTTATCAACGTATTTATGGAGCATGTGATTAAATTCTTTTATCTCTATAATGCAATCATTAAATTTTTATTATATTAAGTACAGATTTGAAATTTCTTAAGTGGATTGACTAATTAATGTGATAGATATTAATTATAAAATTCAATTCTTACAATTTAGTAAAGTTTAAAATGTAAGATTTTTGTATTTATAATAATAATTTACAATAATTTTAAGAAAGTAACGTAAAAGTAACGACTCGTTACTTTTTCAGTAACAGTAACAGTAACTAGTTACTTTTAAAAAGTAACAAAACTTTACCAACCCTTAAAAATACCGTTTATTTATAATATTCCTAAGTAGCAGCATGATGTATTAATGACGTATTATTGACGCTACACACAGACAAATATTATTCTATTTCTAAAAAAAGCGATTATTTAATTTATTTTCCTTACTTTAAAGAATAGTTATCTTCAATAAAAAATATTTTCTTATTATTGGTCCTGAAATATGCTCTCGCAAATTTTAGCAAAACTAATTATCATATATTCAAAGGAAAAATTTATTGTTTTTACAAAAATATTACAAAACTTTATCGAAAAAAAAAATTGGTCCGATTCCATGTAGTAAGAAAACCGACTTTTTATTTTAATTTAATTTAATTTATTGATATGTTAGACTTAATAGGATTTAGAATGCATTTGAATGAATTTAATGGTTATGATAGATATATAAAATTTTTAAATACTTGTGCAAAACAAGCCACATTTACTTGAATATAATATGTATTTTCTGTGTGTAGAGATATTATTAATGCGTCATTAAAACGTCATTTGATGTCAACATGTGCTGGGCTTACACTTTAAAGTAAATAACTTTGATATAACTTTTAATTTTTAAATAACATTTAATTTAAACTCCGAATTAATATAAAATCGTTTGTGATCACTTTTAGATGACTTTTTGCTAAAAGTGATTTAATGTAAATTAATCTTTAATGTTTTCAAAACTTTTTCATTATTTTAGAGATATGGATGATACACTCTAAAACTTGACTGCGTAAAAATCTCGAAATATACTATAAATATAATATAAATGCATTTTATTCTAGTAGAATTAAAAGACAGTTTTGAAGCCTTGCGTACGAAGAAAAGTCTTCGCATAAAATAAGTTAGTGTGTATCTTTGTATTCGCAGTAAACTGAGTTGGTAAGAAAGTTGAGCGGGAGGATTGCTTGTTATTGTTCAACCAGCTTGGCGTGAGAATAAAGATATTGATATCATGAATTAAATCTCTGAATGCATGCGTGCGAGTGAATTCCCGCTTTAGTGTAAAAATAATACGCGCACAGTAACTTTTATTTAGAATAAAGCGTAGGCAGCGATATCCGACTTGTTCTGTTTTTTTAGAGAGAGATTTTCCACAATTTGTCCTGCTACTTCTTTACTTCATTAGACGCGAAAGCGGGAAAGGGCAAAGGGTTAGTAGTTTCTGCACAGTATGTGTAAAAGTAACGTAAATATTTGGGGAAACCGCATTGCACGTCGGTGCATGACTCTCGCGCGGAGTGTAAAACCCTACTTGACATTTATAAAGGTGCCGCAAAGGCTCGCTCAATGGGATCTATTGCAGAGCGCTGAATAAATGACGCTTAGCATCACGTGATATATCGTACATAACTAGATCGATCTTTCGTGCTTGCATGAGGTATTTTGGCGATTATTATGCGGCAAAGGGTATAGTCGAGGGGCAGTTTGAGGCTCTCTTTGGTGTGAACACGTGTGTGTATGTGGAGAGAGTATCAAATATAGAAGAAAAGTACATAAAGGGGATATATAGACGGGAAAGAGGAGGATATACATACGAAAGTGGAGCGCGATGTTTTGCTTCTACGATGGTTGTAGTTCCTACTTAATCAAATTGTGATTACTTATTTCACGGGGTGTTTGTGCAAATCGCTAAAAACACTTGGAGATGTCTGGCGCACTGTTCTGGAAACAAAACTCCGCGTTTGATCGAACCTAAAGGACTCGCATATTCGATGTAATTTGAAAGACCGTCGATGTAGAAGACATATTCAATGTGATCTGAGATTATTAGTTTGCAAAAGAAAACGTATAGAGCGACGCATGGAAAAAGAAAAGATTTCGCAGCTAATCATGGCTGGCTGAGAACCTGTTTGTTGCTGTAACTAAGAATTTGCTACTGCAAGCAAAACTTTCGCTACTGTTGTCACTACATCGGTTTTACAGTCAAATGAATGCCTGACAGCTGTACTTTTAGATATTCATATGTTAGATTCGGCAACCTCATTCTTGCTGCCGCAGCGACTGCCTCTTTCTTCCGTACAGCTTTCTTCACTTTGCAGCTTTTGCTTTAGCGTTTCACAGCCATCCAAAGTATATCGCGAGAGACACGTTAATTTGATCTTTCGAACTTGATTGCGAAACCTACTTGTTTCTTTGGCGCGGTCCCATAGATTTCCTCAAGCGCGGACTTTGTCCATGGATCTTACGTACGTACGTGTCCACGTACCTAGCAGCACGGAGGCAGCGGCCGTACGCGCGTTGATTGATCTAACATGTAATAACACCTACGATCTGGACTCATGGGAAGAGACTCATAGGTATTCATAATCCGATCTTATATTTAAGATTATCTTAAGCATTGTCTTAAGATGTCATGAACTAATCACAGAGCAGTATTCGCATCTTAAGACATTACTTAAGACGGTCTTGAAATAAGATTCGACTATGAATACCGGTCATAGTGATTGCAGATAAGACCGTCCTAATTTCAATGGCTGCACTTCTGGGACAACACCGTGCGCGCGCGCGCGATGACCCGAGTGTCCGAACAATCGCGATTTGTACTCTTTGACCCTTCAAATCTACGCTCGAAAAGAAAAACTCGACGAGACACCTTGATCGTGATATGCGCGTTAAAAATTCCTCGATATAGGTTCAATAAATGCGCGCAACACTTCTATCTTAATGAGTATTCTTCGCGATCACATCGTTAATTTCGATCGTATCAGCTGTTCGATGTATCGCACTTGACACTGGAATAGCCAATGTCGTACGAATCAATTTGCAATTCGATGAAGTGAAAGAAACAAGTGTTCGGATAGTTTCGCGAGCATATTTGGGTCTTTACGAATGGCACTGATTAATCGAGTTGTCAGAAAGTCAATCGTAACTCAGCGACGTCGGTTTTCGCGCAAATAGGACACACGCGCTGTATTCCGAATATACGGTACTTTTCCCTCGTCCCTAGTTCTAAGTGGTACAGGTGTAATCGGCTGTGTTCTCTAACATCAAAGCGCAGGAACTGCAGAACGAATGTGCGCCCGATGTTCGCGGGTTAGAAGGCTATTTCGATTCGACGATGCTTCTCAATGTACAGAAGAGCCTTACGAGATTAAGTGGCAAACTCGTGAAGGACGCACGCACACTCACCCACTATCAAGTGATTTGTCCACATGCTGACGGGGAAATCTCCTTGCACTCGTCTAGCTTCGTGTCATGTCGAGACTTCTTCGAGCATCAAGTGGCGCGCGATTTAGCGCGGCTCTGGCTCGGTTGTGTATTCCGAGCGACACCTAAAATTATAAATCAGTTGTCAAATCAAATTTAGGACAATGTCGAGTGAAGACGCATTGGACTAACTCCCCAGGCAGTACAAATTTGTAAAGGATGCCTTAAAAGCGTCCAAAAGATGTTTTATTTTATTTAAACGTCTCATACGCCATATCTTTAAAACGTCCTTTTTAAAAGTTTGTGCTGCCTGGGGAGATCACTGGGACAGTGAGCGTTGCAGTAATTACAGCAGATATACTATCTGTAGTGAAAATTTTCTATCCGATTGTATTTTAATCCGTTCAGAGAAATGTGCTTGTAAGAATCTCAAGGCCGGTGTTAAAAAATTATAATCAGAATAATTGTTCAATCTTTCTATTTAATCTCTTATACTCGAATCACTCTGCAATATTATAATTAATAATCTTTATATATATACAGTTATAATTAATAACAGATTTCATTTTAATTATTAGAAATAATACATTTTATTTTATACTATTATATAGCTTGTGATCAACAATTTAAATGTTTCTATTTATTTTATTATCTTTGGATTTTTTGAAAAAAACTTTTTTCATTCATGCAGAGTGAACTCTTCGTAGATGTTAAATAAAGATTGGTTTATTAGCTAGTCTAAAATTAACATTCTCTAAGCAGTTGCTGGAAGACTATCGACTTCAGGTCGTCGGAGTCGTTTACGTCATCGTCCTAGTTTTACACGCTAATGCGTGCATCTGTGAAAAATTGTCATAATGCAAATACGTAATTTGAGACACTTAACAGCTAGATGAGATAATAACGCGCTGAATCGTTTAACTGGTCGTAGAGTTCAGCGCTTTGAACTCTCGTCTCTTGACCGAATAATAGCGAATAATATCCAATAAATTTGTACGTTAACGTTTTTCTGCGTTAGACGTTACTTACGTCAGCAAACTTTCATAATAAGAGTTTGATTACGGTATTAAGTGACAAGTAATTTCATGCTGTTTACTGAAATAAATTAGCAATCGCGCGACGTAAAGCTCAGCGTTTTCATTGTACGCTTGGTAAAAATAGCCGGCACAAACAATTAAAAAAAAAAACGCGATTTAATAACATTTCGATGAGAGGATTTTAATTTACGATAAGAAGTTTCGAAGATTTAATTTTCAAAACGGCTGAGCAATTTAAAGGATTCCTTATACCTTTTTATCTCTTCTTACTTCTCTCTCTGAGGCATACAGGACTAAATAATTTAATCTTCTCGAAAGAGAACTAGAATGTGTATTAATCTGTTTCTATCGCATATCGAGAGAATTTAATCACGTTGTGTTAATCACTTTATTCCACAGCGGATATTAGAAGCGCTATTTATCCCAAATTGCTTCGAGGATTTTAAATTTAATCTCACCGATTAAATTTCATGCAAATTGCTTCAGCCCTTCATGCACGCAGCGTGTATATTAAGAGATGCAACGGATTTTCTTTTTTCTAATTTTCAGATGTGGAATACACCTGTAAAAATGGGTGATATCTCTTTAGTGGTATCCCTGTATACGCTATTTTCGATAGATCTCAGTGTCCCGTAATTGACGATACAGTTGGAAAATGATTCTACATGAGAGATTTAATCGAAGTGCAGATCGTCAGATATGAGACCCTGCAGCGAATTTGCTTATTACGCGTCGTGTTTATGTGTCTTTATTTTTAGTCACTTATCGTATCTAAGCAAAGATCACGCCATTTCGCAACATATGTTACGCAAAATTGTTCACTCAACACATCTTCTCGCTCGGATATTTACAAAAATATAAAGAAACGATTTTTCTTTAAGAGGGACGTTTTCATCCCTAGAGAACCGCGTCGAGCACCAACCGGAAGTTGCCTCGGCACCACGTTCTTTTTTCCTAAATTTGCGCGAACTTTCAATTTTACTTGATCTGCTTTCTTTGAACTCTCGCGTCGCTGGACACATTACTCGTCAGTTAGCCGTGTTCGGCGCTAAGCATAACGATCGGAACGTGAGCCAAGGTTGCACGAAATCAGAAATGCGTTACGCGTACCCCGTAATCAGGCTGTAAAGCGCGCTTAACGCATTCGTAAACCTAAATACAAATTCGCACATACTTCTTCCGTTTCGCACCACTTTTCTACTCGGAACAGTTAATTCTCCCTGTCTTTCTCTCTCTCTTTCTCTTTTTACAATCTCTCTTTTTCTCTATCTCTCTCTCTTTTCCCCTTTCTTTTCCTGTCACTCCGGTGATAAAGTCGACGTCCTCTTTTCGAAGTCTCGTGCGCGAAGCTCGCCTATTTCCCTCTATCAGCCGTCGTCATCATTCGTATATCGTCCCGCGATCTCAGATTCGATTGTTGACCCTGCAGCGTGAGATCCGCACACCCCTCTGCGCCTACACCCTTTTCGAGCTCGAGCAACCTGGCGCGTCCGTCCGTCTGTGTTTATTTGTCCGCGAGCCCTCGTCGTCGTCGTCGTCGTCGTTGTCGTCGTTGTCGTCGTCGTCGTCGTCGTTATCGTCGTCGTCGTCGTCAATGCGTAGCGATGCGATCAGATAGTGAGGAGACGCGTGCGAAAACGAGGGCACGAATGCAGCACGATGCAGCACGATGCAGTTTCGCGAGAGGCCACGATGTGACTACGCGTACGCCGCGACTACTGTACGCTGTAAAAGCGACGTCGTACAAGCGCTTTTACGGAACTGACGCGCGCGAGACGACCGCGCCGAACGAAGCGCGGATTCAGGTCGATCAATATGTCGCGGAGTCGCTAGTCTATGCCACGTGCTCACGTTGCGGTAACTATACCGACGCAGCAGCAGCAGCAGCAACAGCAAGCCGTTGCTCGACAGGGGCTTTTCACGCGACGGCGCACAATAGCAGTCGGATAGCAGTTTCTATTCAACGCGCCGAGGCTCTCGAGAGGCAGGAATAATTGTTAAAAACTTTAATCAGTCGTACTGTTAATGACGGATACGAGAGAAAGTGTATGGATCAATTTCACATAGGAAGGAAAGCAAGTAAGGCACGGTCTGGTCTATTATAAAGGGGAAGCGCTTGCGCACTTCGCTGTTGATTCCCTGCGAACTATGAAAAGCAGAGAAACGAGAACACGGGGTTGTCACCTGCAAAATGGGAATTCTCAAGGAAAATTGAAAATTTGCTAACTCGACACATCATCAGGGTCCACCGGAACCAATGCTGGTTTCTGAGTTACTTCTTTGAGGAGTTCTAATACTATTTATGAAGATTGATATTTCAAAACTTCTATTCGTGTTCCCAGATATACTAAAGAGCAAAGAGAAATTTTATTTATTTGTTCTATTATTTTTATTACTTTATTTTTGTTTTATTTTTTGATTTGATTCTTTTATTAGTTTAATTTTTGAGCACAAAACGATCCCTTTATTTAATTAATACTGCGGTAGTAAACCGAGGGATGAGTTCAAAAATAGCAGATAAAGTAAAATTTAAAGTTTATGCAAATTTAGGGGAACAAACGTGCCGAGGCAACTTCCAGTTGGTTTTCAAACGCTGTTTTTCCTCTTAAATCGTTTCTTTATATTTTTGCAAATATTTGGGAAAGAAAATGCTGAATGAACAATTTTGCGTAACATATGTTGCGAAATGGCGTGATTTTTGCTTATCATTGTAGATATAATTAAGGATTAAAAAGAAAACATAAACACGATGTGTGATAAGCGAATTTGCTGCAGTGTTTCATATCTTGCAGTCTGTACTTCGATTATTTAAATCTTGCATGTAGAATGATGTTTTAAATGTTTATTTGAAGATAATTAAATAAAATCAAGTGAGGAATTTTTTGTTAAGAATTTGTTAAGGCTTACTCAATATTAATTCAAATTTAACAGTTACTAATCGAGAGTAATATATTTATAGAACTATTATAAAATTTATCTTTTCTTAAACATCAACATAGGCAGAAGTACTGAAGTTTGATTTTAATGAACAAACTAACGTGTTTTGGTTGAAGAGCACATAATTATGGTTTATTATTCAAATTTGTGCTTCTAAGAACCAGAAATTTTATTTCCTTCAATTAAAACGCGTTGGCTCATTCATTACAACCGACCTATTTTCTCCTCTTTTTTCTTTTTTAAATTAACACAAAAATTTGAATGAACTTTTTGGGACATATAAAGCGTGTTAAATTTAACACAAAATTTTGTACCAGGTACATTGCAATTGAAACCTTTTGTGTATCATATGAAAGACATTCTTCTTTTAGGAGTTCTAATACCATTTATGAAGATTGATATTTTAAAACTTCTGCCGAGGCAACTTCAAACGCTGTTTTTCCCCTTAAATCGTTTCTTTATATTTTTGCAAATATTCGAGAAAGAAGATAGTGAATAAATTCTGCGTAACATATGTTGCGAAATGGCGTGATTTTCGCTTATCGTTGTAGATATAATTAGGAGTTAAAAAGAAGCCATAAACACGATGTGTGATAAGCGAATTTTTTGTTAAGAATTTGATAAGGCTTAATATTAATTCAAATTTAACAGTTACTAGTCGAGAATAATGCATTTATAGAATTATTATAAAATTTATCTTTTCTTAAACATCAACATAGGCGGAAGCACTGAAGTTTGATTTTAATGAACAAACTAACATGTTTTGGTTGAAGAACACACAATTGTGGTGGTGTTTATGATTCAAATTTGTGCTTCTAAGAACCAGAAATTTCATTTCCTTCAATCAAAACGCATTGGCTCATTTATTACAATCGACCTATTTTCTCCTCTTTTTTCTTTTTTAAACTAACACAAAAATTTGAATGAACTTTTTGGGACATATGAAGCGTGTTAAATTTAACACAAAATTTTGTACCAAGTACATTGCAGTTGAAACTTTTTGTGTATCATATGAAAGACAATCGTGTGTTTTCGATACTTAGCAACATTCTATACAGTTAAACACTTACTAACGACACTCAGTTAAATTTAGAACAAAATTCAGTCGCGTTTTAAATGCTACAGAAAATACAGTGACGTTTTAATCGTACCAGCTACGCCAGAGATACCGACACCGTGCGATTAATTCTTCGCCAGACAAATGTGACTCGTTTTATCAATTACAAGACATTGAATCTAATTGTGAAGCGAGTCCGCTGCGCATATTTATTGACGCACGTTGCTATTAAGGCTTCAAATTTCACACTCACTCCGCGTTTCACTTTTTAAACAATAGTATTAATTTTGAAGTTGAATTGCGCTGAAATGACAGAGGAGCTTTTATATCTTGAAGAAATAAATCCTTGAAACATTCACATTCGTGAGAATCGTAAAGCGAATATGACATAGATTCGTCTCCTCTGTGTGTTGTAATGTTTTATTTGTCACCACTCAAATATTTGTGCGACTGTACAACGTCGTTCATTTCGGTCTCTTTAATTTTCAATAGTCGTAATTGCTGATTCACATCGATGACAGTATCTTGGAACGGTAAACGTTCACTTGGGAAATATGCCAGAAATCAATAAATTGAATTCTCTGCATTTGAGATGCGTACGTATTATCAGTATTCTTGCGAAAATAGTTTACAGCGCGCTCATTAGTACCAGTTTACTGTAAATCAATTATAAAATATCCTTTGATGCAATTAAAAAATTGCCTTCTACGATACCACAAAATTTACGATAATAAGTAAGAGAAAGTTTCACAAAATATTATTTGAATTGCATTATTATTTCGCACATTCTTTGACCACATCAATGATCAATATTAGTGCTCAGTTAGGTTATCCACGGATTCAGCAGGTAAATCTGTTCGTTCTACACGGAATTTATCAACTCAAGACAGCTGACTGTTTGATCTATTTTACCAGCAGCGAGATATTCCCCGGATTTTAAGTACGAGATAAAAATTGTCTTCGAGCTTGCAGTTTAGTGGTAAATTAACAATTTCGAAAGATTCTCCACTGTCGAGAATATAAGTGAATGTATAACTACTACCTAATTGAGTCCTTTATACATTAAAGCAAAGAAAAGCATGAAAGCGGCTGTCAGTCTGATTTCAATGGTCACAACTAGGCTCATTTTCGAGGCGCCATCTAACAAAGTACGCCTTTACTACGTTCATTAGGCGCATTTTCGCGGTAGTAACGATAAAATGCGCCTGGTTCGTGTACTTCCGTTGTACTTCTGTACAATGCTAATAAGTTAGAAAAGGACAGATGTCCAATCATCTTTGTCTCACCATTGATTAGTGAACCGCGTGACGTAGGCACGAAGCGAACTAGCGGCGATATTATCACAAAATTAGATCATCTCTCATCAGTTTCGTCTTTCTCGCGCTGCGTTCTGCGTAATTTTGAAAAAACCACCGTAATTTTATAAAAAGATTTGGAAACTGGACAATATAAAACAATAAATAAATATACAAGCTTAAACATGCCATTCATATTTTTTGCTTATTTCTCGGCAATCACAAAAGTTATCGATTTAATTAAAAGGAAACAAAGTTCTCCACAATTTATCCTGTTGGAATTCAGAGTTTACAATAATACTCATGATACTAATGCTATAATAATACTATTAATAACGTTTCGTTAAATAAGTCGTGGAAGCTTAGTTCTAGGCAACCACTAAAGATATTAAGGTGACACAAAAGGCACTATCTGACAATTCATCACTCTCTCACAATTCATTTTATTGAAATTGGTAGTTTGTAATAATATGAATAATATCGGAGACTCAAAACATCTCGGTTCAAATCCCGGCTTAAGGGGATGCTGGAGTGGATGACAAACTTGCCAAGCGTCGATAACGTAGAAGCGATTAAAACGATTCAAATCGTAGAAAACGTTTCTTTATTTATCGATGTACATTAGCATTCATAAATGCCTTTATACTTCCGGTATCTAGAGAATTGGACTTTTTCGATCTGGTGCATCGTTTCTCAGTAAGCGTAAAACATGACTGTTAGTTGTCAGTTCTTTCAATAACTAACAATCACGATTCACGCTTACTGGGACAAGATGCGCCAGATCGAAAAAATCCAATTCTCTAGATATCGGAAGTATAAAGATATTTATGAATCCTAGTGTACTGATTTTATGTATATATAGATATATACTGATATTTACTGATATATACTGATATTTAACAAGAGATGTATCAAGAGATTATACATCTCTTGACGTATCATTAAGAAATAATCAAGAAAGAAAGCCTCCCGAGTCGAAATTTCAATTGGTCATTGTTACGCAAGAATGATCTAAAAAAGTAATGACTAAAATGATTAAATAATTTAAAAAATTATAAATTTTTATCAATGGATATTCCATTTATCTTTTTACACAAAACAAAAAAAATCCAAGCTAACATCACCGCAAAATTTAATTAAGAAATGATTTCCTCGAACACAATCTCTCAATATGATTATAATTAAAAAAACCACATTTCTTGGTAGCATAGACTGTGTTAAATAGAAAAGTAACAGAGAAACGATTGATAGGAACGCTATGGCCCTTATTTTCAACTCCCTTTTGTTGATAAAAGTGTCCCATAAAAATGGCTTGTAGCCAATCAGAAAACTTATGAGTTACTTTCACACGATTGCTTTTATAAAAATAAAAGAGAGTTCAGAATAAAGATCTACGAAGATAAAGGTAAAAAAACACGTAGAAATGAGTTTTCGTACACGAATTTTCTTCTTGCATATATACAGTTTTCATTTTCAACTATTCATTTTTTCCCGCCCACAGTTTGAGTGAAGTAATTAATACACGCTTAGA